CGTTTTTTCCTAATTTTATAACAAATTCTATCAAATATGATAAAAATAATAGATGGAAAATTACAAAAATGGAAAGACTCCTTGAAATACATTCGTTACAGCACTGATTTGTGAAGACACTCCTCAAATACAATTTTTTGACAGGTTTTAAATCTATGTAGGTTCATAGACATCATAAATGACTTTCATTATAATTTTCCTTAATTATATAATAGCTTTTTTAAATTTTTGAGCATTTCGTTCTGGAAAAACGTACACGGACGTGGGAATGGTGAGATTAGACAAACCAACAATATGTATAATATTCANTCGTGACCTCGATCCACTCAGACACTAACTTCCTATCTCAACCCCACCTTTTGAATTTTCCCTCCTTTTTGCCATTTTTCAAATGTCGTGTAATCGGATTGGATTCTCGACGATAAATGGTTACCTTAATTAATTGTAATATATTAATTATAGCGGACTACAAAATTAGTGAATTTAATATTAAATAATGATTAATAAATTTTAAAAAATCGTCTGTTTTGCATTCAATTGTATTAGTTACCAATATTTAAGGTCGTCATCGGTGTTTCAGCTGTTTCATTCGACAGGGAGGATTGACTGGGATATGGTATAGAAATTTGCTAACGTTTCAACGGATTGGGATGTACGGAAAAGGACGAAAGGAATTTTTGTAATTGGCTTTCGCTTCTAAAGGAAGAAAGAGAATATTAAAGGGACGATGTGTTTGAGCTGTGAAGAAAAAAAAGGTAAGTTTAAACAATTTCTTAGGAATTTTGTTTGGATTTTTGTTTTCGTGCATTAGCAGTGAGCATCTTTCATTACCCTAAAATGTCCATTCCTTTACTCCACATAAGCTTGAGAATTATAGTGAACATCAACCTGTAGTTCAGAAGTTTTTTATGCGTAAAAAGTAGTGCAGTCGAATAAAAAATATAGTCTGATGATAATAAATAATATCAACCCACTAAGATTTTAGTAAAGAAAAGAGTGATCCCGATGTGGTCAAAAGAAACCTTTTGCCTCAGCTAGATCCGTCTCTTCTTGTTAGTATAATGAATTTAATTTTTTTGGTCCAAAGAACAGAGATGAAATGTGAAAAGGTGACAACTTTGCAATGAATTATACACAATTATCTTGAATCTTTGAGGTTGCAGCAGCTCTATTTACCATAGTAGAATTAAATGTTTCAAACCCCATTGTCTTCTAGTTAATTCATTTTCTGAATACATTTGAATAGGTACGATTGTCTTTGAGTTGTTATATTAGAAGAGAGATTGTATCGTGGGAGTCCTTTGGTTGTGGCTTCTGGGTCAAACATCAGTGTCAATTGACTCTACATAAGTGTCAAACCTGTTTAAACAGAATATTTCAACATTTCGAATTGAATTATTTCAAAAAGCCGTACATAAGAGAATATTATTACGCGCTATCACCTGAAAAACACAAAAGCTTTGTCGAGAATTTGCAAAAGAAAAACAAACCTATAAATGTTTACCGATTCCCTTTGACATGGAATAATTTCACATCGGTTTTCTCGTTTGAGAATTCGCAGAGTAAACATATTAATGGGGAGAGAAAATATTTCGTTTACCTGTTTTGGCCTTGATTCCAGATTGTCCAGACGGGTCGGAATCCGTGGCATTCAACGTCAAAAGTAAAGTTAACAAGATATGACTTTTATAAAAGTCAATCGAAAAAAAGATGAGAGAAAAGCCGCACACTGATTGTGGATCCATTGAACGTTGGTCTGCCCTTCTCGTACCACAAGTAATAATTCGTACACATATCGAACTTTTCAGATGTTATCAATTACATTTATGCTATTCTTTTCTATGTTTTATTAATTTAATATTCAAATTGAAAACATTATTTCCGTTTGTAATGAATAATGTTTATTTTGTAGTATACTACAACACTACTTAAGGTTTAGAAACCCACTGAGAAATGATGTAAACTTATAAAATTAATATGTTTCAATGGAAATTTGAGCATTCTATTAACATAATTGGTGTGTATTACCGAGAGACGGGAATAAAGACATATTTCAGCTAGCAGGGGGTAAAAGGTTGAAAAACCTGATTGATTAAATATGTACATACAGCAGACACCACTCAACTGAAACTTAAAACTGCCACTCAACAACTTTTCCCCTCTCAGTTTCTCCTTTGACCTCTCACCGTTTCATGGATGAACAATGTTGACAAAAAATTGATTTTTCACTTCTTGATGAATGTGTGATTAAAAACGTTTTGGTCTGATTAACAAGTAAAGAAATAGCAGAACAACCTTCGTTACTGTTATTGATAGTCGATCCTATTGCAACGAATTTTTGAGATTAAAATAGTTTAAAAAAACAGGTTATCTATTTATTTTTGTGACATTGATGAAATTTCTTGTTAATTTACGTATGAATGTAAAATATTTATATTCTTGAAAAATAAAAAAAATAAATATATCAAGAAGACTAGCTTTTTTTATTTTTTTATTTTATTGACAGGGATAAATAAACATAACACAAACGCACAGGACAAAAGATGGAGGTCGGACAGGGCGTCAACTCCGAATAGGTTTTTTTCTCTTGTATGAAAAAGTAAAGGGCATAGTGCAATATCGCCGGAGACTATGCACAGGCCATTGGGCGGCTAGTTCGACCCGGTCGTGGGCCGACATATTGCCGCATAAATCATGCCATCTGACTCAGACACCGATCATGACCGGCACAGGGATCCATTTTTTTCTTCTTTTCGTTCCCCCGGATGAAATGATTTGTGAGAGTTGGTCTCTACACAGCCTTAGAATTAACTTTTCTTTTATTGGAGCAAACAGATATATCGTTATTAAAAATCCATTATATTTCTTGGTCCGATTGAGCAAATAACCTCTTTCAATTAATTAACCTTTTATGTAAGATGTGGGTTGAAATGAAAAAGTTAGTGTCACGAGGAGGTTTCGAACCCACGACCTTCGGCTCTATACGCCGCTGCTCTAACCACTTCTACAATAGATAGCTCAAGTGGTCACAGCTACGGCGTATTGAGCCACTAAATTTTCATTTCAACCAACACCTTACATAAAAGATTAATTAATTGAAAGTTATTAAAAATAATGTAAATTTAAAAACTATAATCATATGCAATTACCAAAAACGACATTATTCACTTATACCACTGCTTTATTAAAAATAGCATGAAATGAACAAATAACACTATAATGGAAATCTGGAAAATACAAGCCACAGATGGTTCCGTTCCTTAAAATCAATGACTCAATGGTAACTGATGTCAAAGAGGGGGCCGATGCACGGCGATAGAGAGAGTGAGAGGGTGGGAGGGAGCGAGAGAGAGGGAGAGAGAGAGAGAAAGAGTGAGGGAGAGAAAGGGAGAGAGAGAGAGAGAGCGACAGCGACAGCGAGAGAGAGAGAAAGATAGAAAGATAGAAAGAGAGAGTGAGAGAGAGTGAGAGTGAAAATGAATTAAATTCATTGTATTTGTATAAGGGAATTTGTGAATTAGACAAATAAAATACGTATCACTTGATATAACTGAGTTTAAAAATTATTCATTTATGTACTTTGGTTAAAACATTTGCATTACAATATGACTCACCTAAAAATATTATAAGCAAAGTAAAATTTTGAAATATACAGTCTGATTTGTAAGTCAGGGTTCGCTCTGATCGGAATATACGCGTCCTCCTAAAAGCACTTTTTGTAAGTTATCATCACTATCTTTTTCCAGCACCCTCATGCAAAATCAATATCGTGTTTGCCAGGCTGAGGGTTGACGATTAATTTGAAAATATTTCTTTTCATAACGCCCCGGCTCGTAAATCAACCGGAAACTTGTACACTTTGTTAAAGTAAGCCGTTAAACTGGGCTAGCGCAAATCTGTTCTAGCAGGGTTTATTAAGCTATGCGGAAGGTGAAATGAAGTTTATTTTGAGTCGGCGAGTGAGAAGTTATAGGCTGGGGGTGGGCAGTCAGAGAAACACGTTTTCTTTATTAATTTTCTGGAGGAAGGAAAAAAAAACGAGCATACGAAGAAAAGTATTTCATCGTTTTTCGGACTTTCCGGCCCTTTCCAGACTCTTAAAATTTACATTTGATTAAATTTGCTAAGTTTTTAAGATTAAGATCGTGGGTTCGAATCCCGCTCGTGCCAGTGACTTTTTATCTCGACTAAAAACCTTAATTAATTGGTATTTGTTGGCGGGAGGGGCTACTGCAATTATTAGCGTACCTCCCAATCCGTTTCCAGGAATTTGAATGTAGGGTTTCTTTACTTGAAGGTGAATTGGAGAGATAATCTAGTAAAAAATATAATTTATAAACAATCAATACTATAATTGTACTTATACATAAAATTGTAATGTTGTTACATTTACAACTAAATTCTTAAACATAAACAATAGGCCAAGGGAATATTAAACTTAACAAAGTAAATTAATTACAATATTATTAAAAGCTAAAACAGAAGTTTTTTTGCTTGTTTGTTTGTTTACTCAGCTGATGGTTTGAGGTAGGTAGCAAATCTTCATCTATTTGAACTGGTACAAATCGAGGTAGCGGTAGGTATCGAGGTCAGATTCAGATGGTCGGGGATCAGGTGACGTGCGTGATGCCTTCGCCGAGGTTNCACCTTGGAAGTTGGTCGCATTGTCCGAATATATTTTTGTAGGGGCACCTCTCCTGGCGATGAATCTGTCCAAAGAGGCTAAGAAAGCGTCAGTGGACAATCGAGACACCACCTCTACATGTATTGCCTTGGTAGCAAAACACACGAACAAGCATATGTAGGCCTTTGAAACTGCCGCTTTTCGACGCGGGGAGTCCTTAATCATAAAGGGGCCTCCAAAGTCAATACCTACATTGATAAAAGGTCGGCCTTGCTCGAAGCGCGACCGAGGTAAATCATCCATGAATGGTTGATATGATTTAATTTTGAGTTTATGACATTTTAAACACTTATGGGTTCGCGACCGAATAAAACTTCTACCGCCCGTAATCCAAAATCGCCTAAAAACAAGAGAATACAATAATTGAGGTCCAGCGTGCATATACGACAAATGCAAATAGTCAACTAATAAAGTTGCGAAGCGGGATTGATGCGGTATAAGGATCGGGTGCTTTGCATCATAGGGTAAGGGAGCGTTGGACAACCGTCCGCCCACCCTAAATATACCCCGGGCATCCACAAAGGGAGCTAAAGATTTAAACTTGGATGGCTTCATCTTGACTACCAGCTCATCACGAAAATGGTACGCCTGGACTTGTAATATAAGACGGAACGCCGTATCACGGATTTCAGACAGCTGAATATATCCGGTTCGTCGCTGTTGTAGATCACTTCTGCAATTGTGCATGAAACGTAGCACTAATGAATATATCCTCAGCATACGGGAATAGGACGAAAATGGAACAAACAGTGATTCCGGTGATTTGACTTGATGAGCTACGCATGCGGTTATGGGTTTGACCTCTGACAAGTCTTGAGAAAGAGAAACAATTTCACATGCATTAACTGGCCATTCATGAAAGGGACGAACAGTCCACGAAGGACCTTGCCACCAGCTAGTTCTCATCGAAAAGTCTGATGGATTAGAACCTCGAGATGCAAGATCGGCGGCATTATCTTCTGATCGAACATGGAACCAGGTATTTAAGGACGACGAACTCAGAATTCGAACCACTCTGTTAGCGACAAACGTTTTAAGACGGTGTGGAGGTGTTCGCAACCAAGATAGAACCGTCATTGAATCCGTAAAAAGGTATGTGGACGTCACGGTGATTTGTTTAAAATATTGATTTAAAGACTCTAATGATTTTACCAACAAAAGGGCAGCGCACAATTCTAAGCGAGGTATCGACATGGTTTTTAAAGGAGCTAGACGAGTTTTTGCAAATATTAAATGCGACTTGATTAAGCCCTCCGCTTCTTCGGCTCGCAGGTAAATCGCGGCAGCGTAGCCTAAAGAAGATGCGTCAGCGAAGCCTAATACGGTCGCAACCTTTGAGGTATTGGAAAACAAACATCGTGGAATCGTAATATTTCCCAATGTGGGTAATTCTTGTAAAAATACTTTCCAATCATTGGCCACTTCTACTGGTAAAGGTCTGTCCCAATCAATTTGAAGTTCCCAGAGACGTTGCAGGATACACTTGGCTTGAAAAACTACGGGTGCTAGATAACCGAGTGGATCATACATTCGTGCGATTGTCGAAAGTATGCCTCTCTTTGTCAAAGCAGCGTCCTGACTTACAATTTTATACGACAAACAATCCCTGTTTGGTTCCCATTGCATACCAAGAATTTTTACTGCGGTATCTTCTAAATTTGAGAGAGGTACATGCTGGTTTTGTGCCTCAATAGGGACATCTAATAATACGTCAGCACAATTACTGGTCCATTTGCGCAATTCGAAACCGCCTCGTTTTAATAATTCAATGAGTTCACCCTGTAATTTTTTAGCAGCAACGACAGTGTCTGCTCCAGTTAAGGCATCGTCTACATACATGCCATACCTAAGAGTATTCACAGCATTGGGAGATTCAGCACCTTCATCAACAGCAAGTTGTTTGAGAACTCGTAAGGCAAGAAACGGTGAGGATGACAAACCAAAAGGCAAGCGATTCAATTCATATTCCGTCACTGCCTCACTAGGTTCGGTTCTATATAGAAAATGTTGGAAAGTACGATCACGTGGAAATACTACAATCTGTAAGTACATCTGCGCGATATCGGCAGTCATTGCGATCTGGAATGTGCGAAAATGAAGTAGTACATCTTTTATATCACGTTGTAACTTTGGGCCAGTCAATAACTTGTCATTTAAAGACCCGTGGCTGGTAGAAAAAGAAGCATCGAATACGACGCGAAGCTTGGTCGATGTGCTGTCCTTGATCACTCCATGATGTGGGAGAAAATATTGGCCTGGCTGCGATGCACAAGAGATGTAACCTTTTGACAAATAATCTTGTATTACAGTATCGTAATTTTCTTTTAAGCTAGGCTCCTTTCCGAATCGATGTTCTAATTTGCGAAAACGGACAAGAGCACCCGGCTTTGACTCGCCTAATATCACCGGGTTTTCCTTGAAGGGCAAAGATACAACATATCTCCCCGAATCATCCCTCGTATGGGTCTTCGCAAAATGATCTTCGCATTGTAATTCGAGAGGATTGACATGAATAGTTGAATCTACTTCCTCTATCTCCCAGAACCGAGTAAGAAGTTTCTGCAGGTCCGCAAATGAATTCTCACTTGTCTCCTTCACAAACAATGAGCATGCGGTGTTCGACGACACTTCACAAATTCTACCCATTAAAACTATCCCAAAAATAGTATTAAGGGCTGTTGGGAGTCCACCAGGTAAATTCACGGAATTACCAGATAATATATCTCCGAATAGATCAGCCCCAAGGAGGAATTCAATTGGACCGGGTTCATAAAACGTAGGGTCGGCGAGGTCAAATCCAACGAGGCGTTGTTGCACAATTTTTGGTAAATGGCAAGATGGCAGCTGGTCGGTGATTTTATCTAAAACGATAGCGGTTGTACAAAGCCGAGGTGCGTCGTTCTTACTCGGCGCTAAAACGCATTTTAAGGCCAAATTGCCTCCTGAGATTGACTGCTCACCCAGCCCGACTAATCGTTGAGGATTCGGTTTAGTCGGCAAACACAGCCGACGGGCACACTCTGTTGTTATAAATGACCGTTGTGATCCGCAGTCAATGAGTATACGAATTGGCTGCAAATTTCCTTTGCCATCCTGTATACGAGCAACAGCGGTTCCCAGAATAACGCTTGGCTCTCCAGTTGTTGTTGCCGATAAGACCGGTGTTTGATCATCAAGGCGTGATACATCGGCAGTAGGTTTTACTTGGTTGGTATGAGCGGTTCCGGCTGGATGCGAAAAATGTTCACTTGGTGGCTCAGGTTTGCTGTCGAACCAGTCTTTCGTACGGTTCGCGGCATTTTCAGCATTCGACAAGTGTAAAAGGGAATGATGTTTTTTGCCACAGTGCCGACAAGAATATGTGGACGGGCATTTTTTACAAGAATGACTGGCAGAAAAGCAATTTAAACAGCGATTTAATGACTTTATTCTCTTGAAACGATCCGAAGGGCTAATTGCACGAAACTGGTTACACTCAAAAATCTTGTGGTTTTCTTGGCAAATAGGACATGCCTTCAAATTAGAGGATACTCCCAGGGACAGCAGGACACGTTTAGGGTGTGACATTGGTTTCAAGGATTGATTCGGAATTGGTGATGTTAAGGCATTTGTTTGAAGTTGAAGGATTTGTTGTTGAATAAATTTAGAGAAACTATCGAAGGATGGGATTACTTCTTTCGGTCCAACATCTGCTTCAAAACGCTCCTTGGATTTGCTATCAAGCAGCCTAAGAGAAAAGGTGTATAGTATAAAGCCTGCTGGGTCGTCCAGGTTAAGATTTCTGAAGGCTTGAGCTGATTCCAAGACGGTGGAGGAAAATCTTTCAAGAGACGCTTGATCATGTCGCGTTAATGGTGGAAAGTTAAAAATTTTAACTAAATAGTTTGTTGCCTGTATCCTTTCATTGTCAAATATTTTTGTTAAGCTGTTCCAAGCTTGGTGATATTCCGAAGCAATTAATGGAATTGAAGATATTGCTTGCAAGGCAGATCCAGATAGGGATGATTTTAAATAATGAAACNTTTTTTTTCTTAAACCTATTTATTCCGGCGCAAACAGTATTAGTTATTTTTTTCGTTTCAAAATGGAAAAAATGATTGATTAATTGAAAGAGTATGTGATTAAAATTTGAATTTATCTACTGGCTCTATACTTGATATTAATCTGTTTGAGGATTGGACCAAAGAGTCAAAAAATAAATTTATTTTAAAAAAATCAAAGCTGTTGCATTTATCTAGAACACCTCGACCGGGAAAATATATGGACCGACGGGAGCAAAAGAGAGGCTGGAAAGAGTCGATATTCTGAGATACCTTGGTGTCATCATTGATCAGAAATTGAGCTGGAAACTTCATACAGACCATAATTTTGAGAAAAAAAAGCAGGCAACTGGTTTATGAGCTATCCAGGGGGCTTAAGTTTACAAGGGTTTGGCAGTGAAACTTACAAAAGTGCCTGCTGCTTTCTGCCATGCTAGTGCGGCACCTCGCGTTGAACAAAAAAAAAACATGTGGTGAGTAGTGTCCGTTAGTCGATAAGTATTCAGAAATCGTGAGATGCGGTCTGGTGTGATGTAGGTTTCAGAAAAACATTTTCTTTATCGTGCCAACGTTTCGATCTTTATTGAGATTATCTTCAGGGCCTGGCATTTACAAACATTGTTTAAATTTAACAAATGCATGTAGGATGTGGAAAAAAGTGAATTTATACAATCAAAAATATTTTTTAATTATAGTCAATCAAAGTATTTCTACTCACTTAAAGTGTTTGTTTTCTGTGTAAGTGTGCCATTCTTGCGTGTCGTGTTGAGAGTGCCAGTGAGATATTGCTGTTTTATATTTATATATGTTGGGTTTTGGAGGGGTGGGGAACGAAGTCGGTATAGAAAGACATTTTTGTATAAGGAATCGGCTTCTTTGAGGTGAAAAGAGCCGACGAAGGGAAAAACGTTGGTAATGGTTCGGCCAGATTATCCTTTCAGGATAAATAGGAAAAAGAAAGCTAAATTATTGAAAAATTAGACTATGTGAGAAAGGTTTGATGTGTGGAATGTAATGTGATGATATATGTATGTTATCTATATTGAATTTGATTAATGATATTGGCGTAGCTGCGACTGAGTTTACATGTAATTGATGCTGTGTTTATCTCTGTTAATATAAACCATTTCTGTGTGTGAAATTTTTGGATTGTTGAAATCGAAATTGTGTTTGTGTTCAAAATGGTAGGTAGCGAGTGCTGTAGAATTTTGCTTGGGTTTTTTGCAATCATAGATATGTTGCTTTACTCTCTTGTCCAGATATTGGGATGTAAGACCGATGTAAGTTGCCGGAAAGTTTAAACAAAATCAATTGTTTTAACCCACAAGTTTTAAAAAATGGATGTATCCGGCCTGTTACCATGAGGTCCGGATGGAAATGGAGGAGCTGTTTGGCCTGGCAGTATATACTGACTGCAGGAAAGTTGAGGAATATGTAGGAGGTGCGTTCGTGATCATCAGCAGAGATGTATAGATATTCGAGCAGAAATTAAGACTAAGTGGCCTTTGTTCGAACAATTGGCAGTGGCATAGGCCTAGAATGGGTGGAATGCCCTTGTCATCTGACGACCAAGGTTGAAATCACGATTGATAGTAGGATCACCCTAGACTTCCTGTTCAATACACACACATTTGCCGTTTACAGAGAAAATAAGATGCACCTTGCAGAAATGAACTCGCGGATCGGTTGGTTAAGGCTGCTTCTCGAAGTAAGGATCTGTCTCTGTCCTACACAAGGGTTCCTTTAGCCACTGTGAAGAAAAACATAAATGAGTGCAGCCTGGAGGCGTGGGAAGACTTATGGAGTAAATCCAGGCAGGGCCAACAAACAAAGGAGTTTTTTCCAACTGTCTCCTCTCGTCTTCGGATGCATCACCTGAAAATTTATTAAAGGCTGATGCAAATTCTGAGGGGCATGGCCGAGAGGGAGTACCTACATCGATTCTTCATTGTAAACTGCTTGCTCATGCAGTAAAGCACCTCCTCAGACTGTCAACAACATGCTCCTGGAGCACGGGAGCGTCCAACAGTCCAGACTTACTTTGCTGCAGTGTATAGTGACTCAAGGGTAAGATGCCCTTCGGTTTTTGAGACCGGAGATTCTGCTATGTTTTCTAGACATAGTGAATGCCATTTTTATTTTCTGAACAATTAAAACTTTTTCATTCAAGTGTTTATAGTCTTCTTTGATGTTTTGAAATTGAGTATGGATACTCATCATCATCATATTATTTTTTCCTTTTTTTGTTGAAATTATTTTTGAATCGACATGTTTATAAATAAACTCACTGGTGTCAGGGAGTACTTAAGTACAAGTTCTTACGTAGAAACACACACACACACACTGCTGAAGAGGCGATGATGGAAATATTTCGGATCAGCCCCTCACCACTCACACGATAAATACACCCCCTCAAAAAAAAAAAAAAAAAAAAAAACTGTATACATTTAAAAAACAACAACCAAGTGCCCGGGCACTCTCGACACGACACGCAAGAATGGCACAATTACACAGAAGACAAACACTTTGAGCCCTGAAGATGATCTCAATAAAGATCGAAACGTTGGCACGATAAAGAAAATGTTTTTCTGAAACCTACATCACACCAGACCGCATCTCACGATTTCTAAATAAATATCGATTAACGGTCACTAATCACCACACACTTATTCTTAATCGTAAGGACGATCCTCGTTTCAGGCTCAGGTTCTTAGGGGCCATCTACAGGTCGTCGTGAGAGCGTGCTAAATCGCTTCGCCGGTTATACGCTACCATGAGAGGCAGCAACTACAAGGTGGCCATTTCATGCTTATATACGGCACATGCCACACCAACGCCGCTCTTGGACCTGTCTGTAAAAACTAGACGAAAACTGGCGTATCTCTTTCGATGCACAACAAACTTACCCTTCAAGAGGTATGGCGGTGTACACGACTTAGGCGAGTTTGCCAGATCTTAGCTTTATAAAAGTTAAATTATTTATTACAGCTCATGGGTTATACGCTGAAATGTGCCGGGTTTATAAATGCCAACATTTATTGCTAACACCCAGTTTCCTGTTTCCCGGCATAATAAAAGTCTTTAAATAAAGACAGATTGCCGGCCCAAGTCGCTTAAGGGCTGTGAACCCCTGATATTGCGCCCCCTCAACGTACGGTACACACAATGACGGATGTAATCAGATAATTAAATAGAAGTGGGAAATAAAAGAGGAACGGGACTGAGAGGATATTGGACAAAGTCTCTGCTCTCTGACACAATTAACTCTTCCATCCCGATTTATTGCCGATCCAAGTCGCAATACCAGATTCCGACCAGGCTTCATTTCTCCTCTTTTCGTTTAACAATATCGACCGAATGAGGAAAAAACGAAAATCGTGGAAGCTGCAGTTTTCCAGAATAAGACTTTAGAATGACCATGGCTTCTGGTTATATTACATTTTTATTGAGATATTAGAACAATTTTAGAATTTTATACAAACCTGAATGGGCAGACCACAAAATAAACATAAAACAATTTGTTCTTTTCCAAATCGTGTAAATGAACAAGACTATTGAATAGTAATGATAATAATAATAATAGTAAATGACTAGATTGTCAAGCTTGGTCTTAAAGAAAACTTTAAATTTTTACCGTTTGTTTGTCATGGTTTCAATTTGTAAAAATTGGAAACCGGATTCTGTTCGGCCTTTTGTTGAAACGGCATCAGAAAGGGCTTTACCCTCGGTAACGATGTAAAAGGCAATCAAGATAGTGCGTTTGAGAATAACAGGGAAGATGGAGAAGTAAAGAGACGGCTTGATTGATTCTCGTGAAAGAAAGTGCACAAGGGGGTAGCTAATGAGTAACAGAGAAGGTGAGGCTAAAGGTTATATATAAAATCAACCCTTCTGGTTTTATTTCAAAGAGCCCCTTTTCCGGTTAGTACGTGAACCTTTATAACAAATGTTACACTTATATTAACATTTTCTTGGTTTTTTCCACATACACTAAAAGGAAAACACCAATTAATGTTATTTTAATCAATGATAATCTAGAACATTAGTGTGTTAGTTTTATTTTACATGAATTTGTGATCATTGGCCTTTATGTATTTTCTTTTATATAAACATTTATTACAATTAATTAAGAGATGAAAAAAAAGTTAATGGCACGAGCGGGATTCGAACCCACGATCTTCGGCTAGATACGCCGCTGCTCTACCACTTGAGCTATCGTGACCTCGATCCACTCGGACAAACTTCCTATCTCAACCCCACCTTATGAGTTTTCCCTCCTTTTTGCCATTTTTCAAATGTGGTAGAGCAGCGGCGTATCTAGCCGAAGATCGTGGGTTCGAATCCCGCTCGTGCCATTAACTTTTTTTTCATCTCAACTAAAAACCTTAATTAATTGCAATGATTTAATTGGTCAAGCGGACCACGAAATTAGAGAATAAACATTTATGTTGAACTGCTCATTAGATTACTATAAAGCATAAGAAATATAATTTTTTTTATATAGGTGGAATTATCTTTAAACTCCTTAATATTATTTTCTCTCTAATGTTAAATGTATAATTTCTTTTTAAGGTGTATTTCCTTTTACGGTTATTAGACTTTTGTAAAAATAATTTATCCCATCCTTTCACTCAGCCATTTCCCATTACTCGCCATTCCAGCTCCCTTAATAATACATTTTTATAGAAAGTTTTATGGTAGCTTTGCAGGGCGTAAAAGAATTACCTGAGGGAGGTTTATTAAATCGTAAACATTGAGCGTTTAATGACTATTCACAGGAAATGGTGATCCTGTTCTTTTGA